TGTGGAAAGATTATCTAACTCTAAATATTGCAATTTTGACGTGATCAGGAGTTGGATGATAAGGATGCCATGTTAACAGCTCCAGATGAAAACAATCGTCCTTTATTTGCCGCTAAAGACATTAAGCCTTTTTACCTTGAACATAGCCCTAAGATTTTCCCACAGAAAAGGTAAACAGGAAATGTTTTTCTTGCTTTCAGTTTTTATAAAACCTATGGTTTTTGTTGCATGAAAACTTGGAATTAATTAGTTGGTATTTTGCCTGTGATCGATCTTGCTTTTATTTGTATCTATCTAATCATGAACACATATTGTTGCAATGTGGCAGGGGCATGTTTACATCACTTAGAAACACGTTGAATTTATTAGCTGGACCCAAGTACGATGGCAAGTATCTTCACAAAGTTTTAAGGGAGAAACTAGGAGACTGTCGATTACATCAAACTTTAACCAATGTTGTCATCCCAACTTTCGATGTCAAGAATTTGCAGCCAATTATTTTCTCCACTTATGAGGTCTCTCTCTCTCCCTCTCTCTCTCTCTCTGTGCTTATCATATATCCTTATATTTTTATGTTGATGCAGGTGGAAGAATCCCCCTTACTGGATGCTCGATTATCTGATGAGTAATGTTAGATGAACTTAAAATCTAAACTTAAAAATTAGACTTGATAATCTCAACCATTGAATAGGTAGTGAGTCCCAGTAAATGTTGGGACCCACAATAAAATCAATAGTTGAGATTATCAAGTATAGTTTTTAAATCTACTTTTTAAGTTCATGCAGCATTGCTCTTATCTGATATATGTATTAGTACGTCCGCAGCCCCAACTTATCTTCCTGCCCACCATTTTAGTGGCCAAGATAAAGAAGGGAACAGTTGGGAATTCAATCTTATTGATGGTGATGTTGCAGCAAATAATCCGGTATGATCTTGTATATAGGAGATACATTATAAGCTTTTCTAAATGTGTCACACATTGTAATATACACTTGAATCTGCAATCAAACACTCTATATTTTCTTTACTGAATGAAAATAATATTTTGGAAAAAACAAAAAGGCATGGATAGACAATATTGTTCACGACATACCCGAAGATTACTTTCCACGGGATACTTACAAGAGAGCTACTGATTGAGACAAAATAATATAATTTATTAGAAGATACTCTTACAAGTAACAACCTAAGATACTAGGTAACTATATACCTCTAACATCCCGACAGATTTGAATAATATAGTCACCCAAAGTATATATCTATGAAATATAGAACATTGAATTAACCCCACTTTCATACGATTTTATTTTTTTGGGTACCATGTTTTGTAGGCTTTAGTTGCCATATCCCAGATAACCAAAAAGGTCTTTAGTGGAAGTCCAGATTTCTTCCCGATTAAGCCCATGGACTATGGACGCTTTCTAGTGATCTTAGTAGGCACTGGCTCTGCAAAGGTGGAACAGAAATACAGTGCGAAAATGGCAGCCAAATGGGGTGTTTTTAGTTGGTTACTTCACGGCGGCTCCAGTCCGTTGGTGGATGTTTTCACTCAAGCAAGTGCTGATATGGTTGATTTCCATATTTCTGTGGTTTTTCGAGCTCTTCATTCCGAAGAAAACTACCTTCGAATTCAAGTAAGCTAATATCATATTTCCCTTGCCAACTATTTTTTTAATAAATAAGCTAATATCAGGGTTTTTTATCTTAAGCATAATGTGTGATTTACCATTGAGTGAAAGTGTAATAGGAGAATTTTGATTCCGCCTATATTGGAACTAAGTGCGCTTTCAATTTTTATATGACACTGATGATCTATTGAATGTAATGCCAGGAGGACTCCTTAATTGGGACAGACTCCTCCGTTGATGTTGCTACAGAGGAGAACTTGAACAGACTTGTGGAGATTGGAGAGACGTTGTTGAAGAAACCAATTTCGAGGGTAAACTTGAAAATTGGTCTTTCTGAACCAGTCAAAAATGGTGGCACAAATAAAGATGCTCTGAAAAGGTATGGAGACAACCAATCAATTTTTTTGTCATTCGATTTGGTTTGGATACCAAAAAATGGAGAGAAAGTGGACGATGGATGGTATTGAAGGGTTAATTTTTGAATTCACACCGCAAGTTTTGATTTAATCCAACAAAATTTCAATGATCGATCTTAACATTTTAAGATTTATATCAACTTTTTTAAATGGTGACTAGACCCTCATTAGATTATAACTTATCTTTATAGAGTCACAACTTTTGGAATGATATCGTATGCCCCAGTTGTTCTCAAAATTTGTTAATGTATTATTAATCAGTCTCTTCCTGTCTCTTGCAGGTTTGCGAAATTGCTCTCAGATGAAAGGAAGCTTAGACAACTAAAATCACCATGCTCATACCAGGCTTAAACTAGGACAAGCAATTGTTGCATTGGTGTTGTTCTTCTCTCTTTTTTTTTTAAAGAAGGATTGTAATTTTATTTATTGTTTGTCTTGCCAACCCTCTGTTGGATATACTTTTTAATGCATTTTATCTCTGAATTTTTTTCCTTGTTTACAAATGACAATAATAAGTAAAAGTCCTGAAGTTATAGTATGTGGCTGAAGGTTATTAATGGCATGTGCGTAATTACCATATCATCAAATCAATAAATCAGTCAATTTTTTAAGTGCAATTAACATTACATCACTCATAAAAACAGTAGGATTATTTACCGAGTTCATTTGGCAATATGCAAACCTAATATTTTAACTTGTCATCAACTACCATTCATGGTATTCAATAAGATTTATAATACAACGAAGATACCATGTTTTCATGTTAACCTGTTTATTAAGTAGTTATAATGAGTCTAATTATTTATCATCAAAAATTCACTTCTACGTCAAAACCTATTTAATTTGTATCGATTTCGTGTGTGTGTGTGTGTGTGTGTGAGATGATGTTTAGAATTAACAGCGGAGTTTGGTAACCTAACATTACAAGGCAGAGCTTCTTACACTTGAAAGCCGCCGGCACTTTCCAAAATTAAAAAAAAAAAAAAAAACACAGCCACCAGCACTTTCCTTCCAAATGTACCCAAAAAAAATAATGAAAGCCGCCAGGAGCCCTCTTTGACGAGCAACATGCAAGTTCATGCAGCAAAACTTTTGGCACGTAAGTAGATCATGCTTAAATCGAATTTGAATTTATATTTATATTTTTAAATTCAAATTTTGAATATAGATAATTGAATAATTAACTCTGATCTCTATATATTATAATTTTGTGATGAAATTAATTAATTGTTTAATACAGTGTTGCTGATAATTCCATATAATTTTTTAAAATTCTATTTGAGTTATCGGAATTAGATTTTTTTATTTTAATGAATTTGGATATGAATTTTAAAAATGAAATGCATTGGAGATTTAAATGCAAAGATTTAGATGGAAACTTTTAAATTTGATCCAACTAAGAATTAGTCCGATTTTAATATGATCCAATCACATTGACAGAAATACTACGATTCATTGACATTGACATTGTCAGAGATACTATGTCATGACGGCCTAATGAACTCGTTGTCGTAACACTTGTAAGCAAGTTTCCTGCAAGCAAGAAAAGTCTTGCTTTTTTCTAAACTTGGCGTTGAAAGTTATGCAGTCCAATAAAGAGATTGAAGTGTTGACCATTTTAACGCCAATTTCACATTTGGATGTTTCCACCCCGCAACGACGTCTCTGACCCAACGCTCCACGAACTGTGCAGAATTCAAACTTTACTAGCAGATCAACACAAGATATTACATCAAAGTTTCTCTCAGTTTGAGGCCTATAAATGGACCATTCTGCATCTAAATCAGCACCCTACAACTTTCTCTCTCTTCTTGCTTTCCTCATCCACTACTCCCTCCACAGTGCACTCTCATTTTTGGTAGATTTTTTCTTTCCCAGTTTCCTATTCTATAGGTAATTGGATCTTTCATTCACATTTCTTTTCACCAATAAAAGTTTTTAGAGGCAATTCACAAGATTCAACAAGTAATTGATAACTCGAGATGGAGAGAAGAAAATCCTCCCTTCTTCAAATTCAGGCACCAACTTATGGAAACCTAATCACCATCCTCAGCATAGATGGAGGTGGAATCAGGGGGGTTATTCCTGCCACTATTCTTGCCTACCTCGAGGCTCAACTCCAGGTGAAAATATAATTTCCTTTCGGTCTTTTTTAGTAGGTTAATTGATTTTATTCTAGAAAAATGAGGATATTACAGTAAAATTCAAAACACGTCTATCTCACTGGGCCTATAGAGCGATATCAACGAATTGCTCGATCTCAACTTGTCTATGAAACGAAAGAAGCTCTCATAACACAACAGAATAGGTATATACATGCAATTAACTCATGACAAACCAAATTATACACATGGGTTCACAAATCACAACTGATTTCCTTTCGGTCAGTAGTATGTGTTTTAATAGGGAGAAATTTTTTTTCGCATAGGAGCTGGATGGGGAGGAGGCAAGACTTGCAGATTACTTCGACGTGATTGCCGGAACAAGCACCGGTGGTCTTGTGACAGCCATGTTAACTGCACCCGATGAAAACAACCGTCCTCTCTATGCAGCCAAAGACATCAAACCTTTTTACCTAGAGCACGGTCCCAAGATTTTCCCACAGAAAAGGTATGAATATCTTAAGCTAATGATTCATTTTCTTTAGCTCTTGATCATGTAATTAAGTAGTAACCATATCTTTGTGGTTTGAATGTCAGTGGCTTGTTTAAATCCATTGGAAAAACGTTAAAAACATTAAGAGGACCCAAATATGATGGGAAGTATCTTCATGGGCTTGTAAGGGAGAAGCTGGGAGATATCCGATTAAGTCGTACACTCGCCAATGTTGTCATTCCAACTTTTGATATCAAAGACTTGCAGCCAACCATTTTCTCCACTTATCAGGTGTCTCTCTCTCTCTCTCTCTCACACACACACACACACGCAATATTTTCCTGTGGTTGTTATGCAGGTAGACTATTATCACCCAGAATTATTTGTCTATAGTCTTACTGACTGTTTGTAGTTGTATATTTGAGAACTTGAAAAGCCTTCTGGTTTTTGGTAACTAATTATGACTTTCACATGTACTGCGGAGTCATGTGGTGGACCCAGAGAAATTGAAATTTGACACGTTTGAACTTTGAAGGTCTTCAGTCAAAGTACACCGAGGGCCAACATTTAATAATACACTACTGTTATTGGGACATCAATAAGTCATAACCCATTATGTCCTAATAATATTGCTTTTAATAATAAATATACAAATAGATAAAATATATTTCACTTGATTGATTATTAAATGATTACTAAATTAGATGAGATCCACCTACTTATCTATGGGTTTATTATTGGATTTTGACATTAGATGTCAATAATGACGTGTTGTCACCATTACACCCAATATTTACTCTAATATTTTTTCCGAGCAATATTACATGGATTTAAAAAGTAGATTTAAAAATTATATTTTGTAATTACGACCGTTGATTTTACTGTATGTTCCAACATTTATTAGAATTCATTACCTATTCAATAATTGAGATTATCAAGTATAACTTTTAAGTTTATCTAACATTACTCATTTTTTTCGACCACAACAATGTCAGTAGGACCAATCAATGGGTGGGCATCGGGGATTGGCTGGCAGCCGGGGCCCCTTAATAACCCTTAGTTGGAGATTGTATTCTCTAACCTTAGGGCATCAGTTATAATTTCAGAAATTAGTGTTAGACTTATTTTTGCATATTTAGGTAGGGCAATCTATAATACATGGTAAAGTAATAGGGGTTAAAGAATTATGTCTGATCCATGCAGGTAAAAGGCTCTTCATGTTTGGATGCTCAATTATCCGATATTTGCATAAGTACTTCTGCAGCTCCAACCTACCTTCCAGCCCATTACTTCAAGACCCAAGATAACAAAGGGAATGTTCGAGAATATAATCTTATTGATGGGGGTGTTGCTGCAAATAATCCGGTAAGAATTAAATTATGTATAAGATATTATTCCACTTACAATTACATATTTATCTTTAACACTGGGACCTACAGTTTGACAAATTGTAGAAGATGCCTTTTTCTCCCTTAATGAATCCACAAAATGTAGATGACACCCTTAAAATTAGCGACCACAAATCAAAAATCAAATATCAAGAGTGAAAATGAATGTGTGTATGTATTCAGAATCTCCTTTCACTCGTGCATCCATTTATGGATGGAAATATGTTGTGGTCTAAGGAGCATGACTTCTCCTCGACTTGTTAAAAGCACCACGTTTTAATGAGCATTGCTAGACTTATCAAATTGTTTACTTAAATTTTGTATACCAAACCAGTACGAGTGATTGGAGTTGTCGGTCTCACTTACTCCCACTACACATTCAATATTGTAGAGGTTTCGTCACATTATTTGGTATACAATATTTGATAACTTCATTTAGAATGTATATACTAACTCGTTCAATCAAGTCATGACCTCAAATTATGCATGCTAGTACTAACTCGTTCCATCCCTATATGTCTATGTAAGAATTGCACATGGATTCGACGTGACAAATCTAATATTAGTAATAAACTGCAAAAAAAAAAAAAAAGAATCTGAATTTAATATCGTTGTTTATTTCTTGATGAAATGCTTTCAGACTTTGGTTGCCATTAGCGAAGTGACAAAACAGGTCATTGAGAACAATCCAGACTTCTTTCCCATCAAGCCCATGGACTATGCTCGATATCTAGTAATTTCAATTGGCACAGGGGCAGCAAAGATTGAACAGAAATACAATGGTAAAATGGCTGCCAAATGGGGAGTTCTAGGCTGGTTAATTCATGGAGGTTCGACTCCATTGGTGGATGTGTTTACTCAATCAAGTGGAGATATGGTTGATTTTCACAATTCTGTGGTTTTCCAAGCACTTCATTCAGAAGAAAATTACCTTCGAATTCAAGTAAGCTTACATACAATCTCATTGAATTTAATTCTAATTTTACAAATTAAATATATTTTTCGTCTCTAAAGTATATACAAAATGTACTTTAATTCTCTAATCACTGATTATGCCACTTTGATGGTTGAATGATGAAATTTGTGTCTAAATGATTTAAACGCTAACTACCTTCTCAACTCGTCGCGATGCAAATATAGTTTTGAAATCCCACCAAAAGTAAACGGGTTATCTTCCATCCATGTATTGTTTGATTAGGTGGTTAACAGTTTGATATAACACATACTAATATATTGCTTGCAAAACCAGGAAGACACATTGACTGGTACAGAAGCTTCAGTTGATGTTGCGACGAAGGCCAACTTGGAAAAACTGGTAAAAATAGGTGAAAATCTACTGAAGAAACCAGTTTCAAGGGTAAATTTGGA